TTGTCTTGTGACCATATCAACTAAATGTATTCTAAACCAACAGCAATCTCTTTAGCTATAGTTCTATAGTGTGTTAGCAAGCTAGCCAACTAAGATGGGGACAATGGACATGAGTAATATAAATACGGGTACAAACAGAAAATAAATACGTTTTTTATTTAATTGATCTTCACATCTATATATCTATAGCTAGGTTTCCTATGCATAAACTTTCGAGACCCAGCCTAGTGTCTTATCACTTGCCTTTTCAATAGGACTGGGTTGGTTACTTATGTTCCAATGTCTTTTAGATAAAGTAATACAACTTAGTCATAATTTGTTCTTGAAGTAAAGTTTGAACTCCATTATGTAGTTGAAATAATGATGCCAATGCAAATGTTTCAGGAGAATTATTGATCCGAGTCTGCTCTTAGATTGCTGTTGTTTCCCCCTTCACATATTGTTATTTTCATATGTGAGATTCATGTTCATGCATGCGTCGCATATGGGTGAAGGTAGCAAGATGTGTCTTACACCTGGGTGGGGTTTATTAACCTGAGTAATGTACCAGTAAGGCTTTACCAGTGGCGTCTCCCACTTGTGTTACAGTTACTCCTGTTGTCCAAACATACATCACAATACTCAGATGTTTAGTGTACTCATGTACGGAGATGTGTTGCAGAGATTTACATTCAGTACGGCACACTACCAGTGTGTGCAGCGGCAGAGAGAGAGGGAGTAAAAGAGACAGGCTGGTTATTGTGAAACAGAAGGGGACTTGGTATTTTCATTAAACATTCATGAAGGCACTAACTGTCAGGTGCTAATTAAATAAAAGGTCAGCCACTCAAGTTTTGTTTATTGAAACAAGTTGTTACCTAAACCACTGTACATGAATCTGCCCTTGTATTAGTATCATGAATAAAAACTAAGAATTTGTTCTGAAAATTAACTATTGGCCTCCAGTTAATTTTTAGATTGTTTACCTCATACTTCGATAAATAGCTTTTGCGTTTGAGAAATGTGCTTTTTTGCATAGAGTGATATGAGGAGATACAGCTTCTGCCAATTTAATATAAGGCCACACTGGTCAAAGTGTAATGAATTACACATACAATAAATATCGATTGTATAGGAGTTGGACATAGTGGTCGCAACTCACCCACTGGTTTGTGGAATATGGTTTTGAAGCCTCAAGTTTGGCTTTTTTTCTGTCACTGTTGTTTTTTTTGTAACCAGTATTGAAAAGAGGGAGATGATCCAGGTACAAATGTTAGAATCCATTTCCTTGAACTGAAAACACACTTTCAAGAGTTAAAGAGGACATATGCTCATTTTCAGGTTCATTATTGTATTGTATGTCTTAACTGTTACATGTTTAAATGCTTTAATGTTCAAAAAGCTTTTTCTCATACTGCCTGTGATGCAGCACCTCTTTTCACCCTCTGTCTGAAACCAGAGACCAGTCTGCTCTGATTGGTTAGCTGGCCAGCTCTCTTGTGATTGGTCAACCACCTAGAGATGTCCAGCCCCTTGTCGGTGGTTTTACGATTTGAAAACAGAAAGTGAAGAAATACTCGGATATTTACTCAGATATTTTACTCATGTAAAATTACACTGAACAAAAATATAAATGCAACACTTTTGTTTTTGCTCCCATTTTTCATGAGATGAACTCAAAGATCTAAAACATTTTCTATACACACAAAATAACCATTTCTCTCAAATATTGTTCACAAATCTGAAAAAATCTGTGATAGTGAGCACTTCTCCTTTGCCGAGATAATCCATCCCACCTCACAGGTGTGGCATATCAAGATGCTGATTAGACAGCATGATTATTGCACAGGTGTGCCTTAGGCTGGCCACAATAAAAGGCCACTCTGAAATGTTCAGTTTTATCACACAGCACAATGCCACAGATGTCGCAAGTTTTGAGGGAGCGTGCAATTGGCATGCTGACAGCAGGAATGTCCACCAGAGCTGTTGCCCGTGAATTGACCCTTTTTGTGTTTGTACACAATGATGACGTAGAACGTATGCGCGCGCATGGTGGAAACAGAAGGATGGCAGAGATAAACAGCTTGTCAAGCTACGCAAGGGGATTATCAACTAAAGATCGTGAATGTTACCTTAACAAGTTGACTTTGACAAATGGTGTCCGACTTCCAGATCCGTGTTCTATTGATGAGTGGGTTGAAGACGTTAGCAAGTGGCCGAATATACAGTGGCCAGATATATATACCTATTTAATTGAGAAACCGAGCGTGTACACCAGAGAGAAATTACGAGACTATAAATCACTGGATGCTTACGAATACGTTGTCTGTGGTCATGTACAGAACGTCAAATACCATGACATAGACTCAGAGTTTTGTATTTTGAGATCAGAAATTCTCCCTAGTCAAAGACAAGGACACAAGACAACGATGTATGAGGCTTGGGTTATAATCAACCAACGAGAAAACTACGTCCTCACAGCGAATTGCACCTGTATGGCGGGGTAAGTAGCCTATTATTTGGTGTTGTGGGCTTGTAGGTAACAGTTCAGGGGTGTGTTACTGTCCTTTCAGCTGGCTATTACTCTCCTTTCCATATCAAAAATCGTATGCCTTGCCCTGTAACTTTCTCATCATAACCAGGGTTTGAAACTAACATTTTCATGAACAACAACACAGTGACAACAGGGTTCAACATGTCAGCAGCCAATTCAAAACCTGATTAAGCTTAGGATACTTACTCACATGTCTAGTAAGTTAGATGTTTACCTACTTCATAGCCAGAGCCGAGATTTGTCTGAGAGCAAATGTTACTTTCAAGCCCACTATGTTTATTATGATTTTGTGAAATTTCAGGCTTGGGTCATGCTGCAGCCATGCAGCTGCAATATTATTCAAAGTTGAGCTCTATGTTAGGATGGGAAGGACAGAGAAAGCAGCAGTTACTTCTGGAGTGTGCATGTGGAAAGACATCAGTAGGAAATAAGTCAGACCAGCTCCATTGAGGGAAATCAGCTTCCACAAACCAAAGAGGCTTGGCAGGCAACTTCCAGCAGCTTCAACATCTGCTAGGAAGAATAGTATCACACCCAGAGGCATGTAATAGTTGACAGAGCCTAGATAAGTTTCCTTTTGCCATAGTGCATTTAATTAATTCTCAGGATTTCTCCTCAGTGTTTTGACACCATAATGTAGCCTGAGAAAGGTGTTACTTGGTGATGCAGAGATGAAAAGGCCTACAGACCAACGTGGCATCATGACTTTTTGTAAACATACACGCTCAGTTTGAATAGTTTCAGTATCATTTGTTATGTTAGTTTGAATATGTCTGTCCTTTTGTCTTCAGATTACTGATTCTAGAAATTCGATTGTTTGTTATCTACAGCTTAACTGGTCTGGTTTTAGAATAATTCAGTCATTATTCTTAAAATGTGAACATTATGCAGCACACTAATTGTGTCTTTTTGTTGCTCTATTATCAGTGTTGACAGATGATGACATCCGGGAACTGCTGGATGTGGACCCAGGTGCTGCAGTGCTGACGAGCCTGGAAAACAGTGACACGGACACTGCATCGTCTGACACTGATTTAGAGGAGCATCCAGACTTACCTGAGCCCTTGACTGCTTTATTTGATGCAACACTCTGGGAACTCTCACCACAGGAAATGAAGGTGAAATGTGAGGATACATTTCACAAACTAAAAACTACACTACAACCTCAACAATGTGAGAAACTGGAATTTGTGACACGGAAACAGTCAAGGTCAAATGAGTGGCACACCTATAGGGCTGGTCGGATCACAAGCACCAAATTTCACCATGCAGCCACAACTGACAAGATCAGCAAAACATACCTAAATGATATAATGCAGTAAAACAAAACAGAGTTAAATGTCCCATCTGTGCTCTGGGGTCAAAACATGGAGGAAACGGCAAGACAAGCCTACACTGCATTTATGTCCCAAAGCCACCCAGATTTCAGCATCAGCTCATGTGGCTTAGTAGTGCAACCTTCTGAGCCACACCTTGGATCATCGCCAGATGGGATAGCAAGATGTACCTGCTGTGGCAAAGGGGTGGTAGAGATAAAATGTCCCTACAAATACAGGAATAGCCTTCAAGGATGTACAGAAGACAAGCAGTTTTGTCTGGACAAGTCATTCTCGTTGAAACATTCACACACATACTACTATCAAACTCAACTTCACATGTTTGTGTGTGGTGTTAGCTACTGTGACGTTGTGTTGTGGACTAAGGAGAAGTTCATTGTGCAACGTATCCTAAGAAATGAAGAGTTTCTGCAGGAGGCTTTGCCAAAAGCACATGACTGCTTTAGCTCGAGTGTGTTGCCTGAATTACTGACAAGAAGACATGATCCTGTCTTGGTGTCACAGAGAGCCTGCGAATACTGTGAAAGACCAGATTTTGGTAAAATGATAATCTGTGTCAAATGCAACAACCACATTCATTACAGTTGTGCACACATAAAAAGGAAGCCAGCAACATGGTTATGTAGGAAATGTCAGAGTTGAGGCTTGAATGCCTTCATGTAGGAGTGGGCAATATAATGTATTGTATTGTGATAGGAGACCAGATATGGTGTTAGATGTCAGTTATGGATTGTCTTTCCCTGGTTGTTAAAGTTGCATTACAGTTGAAACAATGAATTAATCATCAGCCTTTTCTTTCCATTTGATGTTGTTATTGACAGCTGTGTCTAGATGCACTTCAGTGCAACAAGATATTTTAAGTTTTATTCTGTAATGCTATATATGTATCCATAGAGATAATTTGCGACCTAAAATTATTATTTACTGTTTACAACATACAGAACCAGTTTGATTCGAATATATTGTACATACTCCTACTTTCCATGTTGTTAATGTTTAGTGGCACTTTAATGGCACCTGAATGGAATGAAACTCTGTTAGTAACAACATTACAAATAAATGTGATACTGCACTCTGAATTGTTGAGATCATCTGGGGGGGAAAGGACCATTAGACACACCAGTGGCAGCCAATGTGGGGAGGTTTATTAAAATGCATTAAGTTTTAAGTACAGTAGGCCTATATACATGTTTTACAAATGTAAAATCACTTTATAAGTCATACATGGTTATGTGTAACTCATTTGGGAACAACACTCTTACAGAGGTTTGTGAGGGCACCACATACAATAACAACATCATCTAGTATGTCAACCTGCGACAAAGGAATAACTGTTTGTAAAATCTTAAAGTTTTTCCACCGACCAATAACTCGCTCTACATGGATCCTCACACGAGAAAGTTGTCTAGATGTGTCCACTTCCTGTGCAGAAAGCTGCTTCTTTCCTTTTGTGAAATGAGGGATACGAAGGGTTGCACCATAGGCCGCAAGCTCGTCTCTGATGATAAATCCTCTGTCTGCTAAAACCTCATCCCTAGGCTCCAAAAGTTTGAGGAAACCTGACTCCTTAGTGATCTGCTTGTCTGAAACCCATCCACCCCACCCAGGAGACAGAAATGAAATTGCACCAGCTGGAGTGATGCCGATCAAATATTTAATGGTGTTGTTGTGTTTATAGTTTGACCATGTCTGGGCCCTGTAAGTCAGATTACTGGGTCTAGCTATGAACATTTCTGTGCAATCTATTATGCACCGGCATCTTCTAAAGTTGCGCTTGAATATTTTTGGCATATTTTTAAGTACTGCACCCTTACTTGGCCATTTAATGAGTGGCTTGAGGACCAAGGCCATAGCAGGGACCCAGCTCCGCAAAATATTTGATAAGGTGGTTTTTGATACCTGAAATCTATAAGCCAAGTCAGTATTACATAGGCCCAACCTTAATTGCATCAATATAATCAATAGGTGGTCCTCTACTGTAAGTTTGTTGTGAATTCTTTCTACGCTGCCCATCATTTTTGTAATCAGCCACTCAAAGACCACAGAGGTCAGTCCTGTGAGAAAAATCAATTGTCCAATGTTGCACTTAACAGTGGTGTAGGAGAATGTAGATTTTTGCAGCTCCTCTTTCAGCTTTACATTTTCTGCTCGTAGTGTGTCAAATTCCTGTCGCAGGTTGACATATTCCTCCTGAAGTTGACTGTATCTCAGGTTCAGATCATCGTACTCTCTCTTTGGAACTGGGATATCCTCTTCAGCTTTAATATAGAAAAGTGAAAAATTAGCATGTGCTGCAACCAATGCAAACAAGTTCACAATTCAGGGGTTCTCACACATTTTTACCAATGCATTTTCAAAACTTTTCCATGACAGAAGAGAAGATACATTATTGTTCCCAGGGGGAGATTTTTCCTCTGCATTTGACCCATCCAGGGGCCAGTGTACACGTCACACACAGACATACATAGCAATTGGAGCAGTGGGCCTGGCAGGAGCACACACACACTAGGAGCACACTGACTCTTTCAGTGAGGGTGGGAACCCTGACAATCAATCAGTTAATTGTAAGATGATATATTCATATATTCATAAATATATTCGTACCAGGACAATGATCCATGCTGCATTCTTGTTCTGGAGTTTCAGAAGTAACACGTTGATTTGCTGCAGTGTCAGCTCTCCTCCTTTTCCTATGGTACCTACAGTAACAGCAGAAATGTATAGTTAGACTAATCCATATCTCAAAACAACAGCTGTAGGCACCAAAGCTTATGCAAGAGAGGAAAACAAAAAACGACTGAGAGGAGGGCAACTCTAATCTTACCTGTCCATCTTTGCATTTGGGTTCTGGCTTTGTTTTGTGTACATGAACACAGATGGCACAAAATCAGGACTACTAGAGTCCAATGATGCCTCGCCTGCAAAAATAAAACACAAACACGTTTGTTTAGCCTAGCAAGCTACTAGGCCAGGGGTGGCCAACCAGTCAGAGGTTAAGAGCCAACATTTTGACTATGTTACTGCAAAGAGCCACATCAAACACAGTCACAGATGCACGTGCACCCCCCCTCCCTCATTCTCTCTTTTGTTCTCAGCCTTTCTCTGTGCTCCTTCACTTTCTTCCTCCCTTCTCTCTCTCACAGATAAAATGAAAATATAAAACTTCACACACACACACACACACACACACACACACACACCGTATACATCACTTCAGGGGACATTACATTGACTTACATGCATTTCCTGGAGACTTATCCTAATCCTAACCATAACCAACACATGCCTAACCCTTAACCTTAACCTTACCCTAACCCTTACCAAGTCTTCACCCTAAAATTAATGATTCCCCTCATGGGGACTTCCAATTTGCTCAGACAGATTTATTGTAAATGGCACACACCATAATATTGACAGAAATTGAATGAAACCTCTCCTACCAGTATTCAGAGGCCAGTTAACATAACAACATAACAATGAACATTGTGTGCACTCACACACAAACTCTCAGTAAACACAATTGAAAAGGTTTGTTATCTTACTTTAAATTAGTGAGACTTCTGACATTCCTTGCTTTGAACAATCCTCCTCAAATCTGGCTTGTATTCCGTTGTGGCCACTCGAAGCAATTCTCTCACATGTGTGTCAGTCAGAACAGATCGATGCTTGGATTTCACATGTTTCAGGGTAGAAAACACAGACTCACAGACGTATGTTGACCCAAACATTGAAAGTAGCTTGAGCGCAACCCGTTTGACATTTGGGTATTTTTCGATCGGCACAGTTTTCCAGAACTCAAGGATCCCTTCCCTCAGAACAGGTTTCAGTCGGTCATCCTCTGAAAGTTCGATCATCTCCAACTCGGCCACCGCCTCGTCCTTGACTAGCGGGGCTTTCAAACAGTCTGTCTCAGCATTAAAAGGATCGACGAGGAACGTAATCTGTGGCCTTTTCACATGTAGATCATGGAACCGGGTCGCAAAGTTTTCCTGCAGGGTTTCAATCAATATTGCATAACGGGCTGTTTGCTTTTTCCGGGTGGCACCGGTGGCTTGTGCGCTTGCTTTTAGCAGAGAGGGAAAATGCGCTAATTCTCCCTTTTGAAGATGTGTCTTAAACAGTTTCAGTTTGTTAACAAACGCAAATACACTTTGCACTAAGTCAGGCAGCATTTTTAACTTTCCCTGCAGATCCAGGTTCAGTCTGTCCAAATGACACAGCATGTCGACCAAAAAGGCCAGATCCATAATCCACTTGGGGTCTGAGAGCTCCGGATAATCCTTGTCCTTCTGTTCCATGAACAGTTTCACAGCATCCAACAGCTCAAAGAAGCAAGACAGCACTTTGCCTTTAGAAAGCCACCTCACAGTGCAGTGCAGCGGCAGGTCTCCTGGAAGCCCTTGGTCGAGTTCAGCGATGAGATTCTTAAATTGCCTGTGGTTAAGAGCATGCGTGCGGATGTAGTTTACGATTTCCATCACAGGCTTCATGACGTTGTCTAAATTCAGTGATTTGGACACAAGTTGCTCCCGGTGAATGATGCAGTGGAAATTCCAAAATTCGGGAAATGTGTTGTCAGTAGGGTTGGGAACCGAAACTCGGTTCCAGATGAGAACCGATAAGAAAATGCCGGGTACCGGGTACCCATACAAAATACACAATTTCGGTTCTGCTTAACGGTTCCTAAACGCGGTAGACCCTGTATTCCAGCGGGTCCGTCTGCACCGCGGTGCTGCGGTGACCCGGTGGAATATAGGGCGGACCTGGAGAATCACAGAACGGCCGGTCGTCAGCGGGCCGTTGACGGCCGGCTCGGTACGCTGACGGCCGGCACCGCCCTTCATTTTTTTAAACGGCATCATATAAATTGCGCTGACAGGCGACAGAGGTCCACAGTTGCCCCGCAGCGATGCTCCCCGCCCTCCTGTAGACATTTCACCAGCTCAGTCACTTCATAACACCAAAGATAGGTCGCGGTAAACACTCTGAAGTGAGGCTCCACTACACTAAAAAAGAAAAAGAAAAGGCAAAGTGTAATGCCTGTTAATAGCTTGCCACAGGCATAGCTCAGTTAAAATAAAGCACAGCTATTGTGCAATACATTTGTATTGCATGTATATTTTTGAGTAACAATTTCAGTTAAAGCTTTTAAGAATAAATATATTTTTGTTATCTAAACGTTTGACCTCTTTATTTTACAATTTTGGAATCGAAACGGGGAATCGATAAGAACCGGAATCGATAAGCAGAACCGGAATCGAAATCGGAATCGATAAATTTCAAACGATACCCATCCCTAGTTGTCAGCTTTGCACAGCCCCACAAGCCCGTTCACAGATCCGACCATTGATAGCGCTCCATCCGTGGCTATTGCAGTTAGTTTCTGCTTGGGCACATTTGCTTTCACAAACACATTTATCATTGTTTCTTTTACATCGATGCCACGGGTTCTGTCTTTTAATGGCACAATATCAAGGAGTTCTTCTTTTATAACACAATCCTTTGAGACTGATCGTGCAAATATTGCCAACTGAGGCTTGTCTTGTATGTCACAAGACTCATCCAATGCCACACTGAAAAACTCACATGTTTGAAGATCAGAGTGTAACTACGCTTCAATGGCGGTGCTAATGTCCGATATTCTGCGTTCAACAGTGTGGCGGGACAGTTGGACGTCTGATACCGCTTGTTTCAGTTTTTTGTTTTCTGGAGACAAGATTTCAACCACGTCACTGAGGCATTTTTGAACAAACTCCCCTTCATTGTACGGCTTTTTAGCTTGTGCTATGTTCCAAGCAACTTGATAAGATGCAAGTGTTACGGTCTCCGAGTGCTTCGTTATTTTTTTGAAAAACTGTGTCTGCTTTTCTGCCTAACTTTTCAAGGTGTTTATCTTCTGCTTGCGAAGTTCCGTACCTTTTGGGAAGTCATGGTCGATGTTAGCATGGAGTGAGGTGAAATGGCGCTGAAGATTTGAACCCTTGAAATGGGTTAATGCTGTCTGGCATATAAGGCAAAATGGCTTGCAATTGCGTTCGATAAAAAAATATGAACTCTCCCACTCTACTAAAAACGTCCTATGTTCGTCTTCATATTTTCGCTTAGCTGTGCATTTCTTCCCTGCCATTTTAGGATCAAACTCAATTCATGGTCAGATAGTGTTTAATACTCGATTCTGATTGGTCAATTCAGAACACGTGACACGTTGTTAATCCAGAACAGACAGACCGCTGTCAAGCAGTTCCTGCCGTTGCTACGTTCAAACAGTAACAACGGACTATTTCTCTTAGCGGATGCATGTCATTTTAAATAAATAATAGCGTACTATTTTTTTAAATCAATAAAAACATTTTCTAAATCTATAAAAGCATTTCAATTAATATTGGGAGTCATATCGTTACTTTGTTGAGAATGTGGCCATGTAATAAGCGGGATAATGGGAAAATAACACCCTTCATGCAGATCTAGACCCCTCCGCTTCGCTCCTGATCAAAATTAGACGGCGGCGCTGTCATCCTCTCATACTGACACCTGACACCACACATACACACGTAGGGAGAGCCGGGACGAAAGTAACGGAGCGATTTTATCCGTGCCCAAACAACTTTGACCGGTCAAATTACGTCAGAATTATCAGCATTCAATACTTAACAGACCTACTAAATATCAGGTCTAACTGTCAGGAGTCCGTGTCTCTCCCCACACTCACACATATAAAATTCGATATGAATTGAAGAGCCGCATGAAACTGGCTCTCGAGCCGCATGCGGCTCGCGAGCTGGCCACCCCTGTACTACGCAAATCTAACGCCAGCTTATCAAACTTTAGCAGCATTTGATTATTATTCTACATCATACAGACAATCACTAATGTAAACAAGGCTTTCCCGTAAAATCAAAGAGTAGGCTAGAATCTAGATAACCTCATTACCTGATATACTGTAAAGTGGGCGCTGCAGACGCGAGCATTTTTGATTATGTCATCATTCCAGTCCACACGTTTAATCGCCTGCAGCCACAGACGCCGCCGGTTGCTCTGAAATGGTCGTGGTCCTCTCGGAATCCTATAAAACTTTAGTCCGCCGGTGGAATAGCGATTCGTACAACCGTGTACGCAACAACCAGACATGTTGATGCTGGGTACAGTTTGTAAATGCTTGCTAACCAGTTGCTACCTCGTCTTTGTCATTCAGAACTGCTGAAAACAACACCACTTCCGTTGCCCACATGCGCGCGCAACTTTTTGATGACGTCGGCTGTAAAAGGGTCTATAGAATGTTCATTTCTCTACCATAAGCCGTCTCCAAAGGCGTTTCAGAGAATTTGGCAGTACATCCAACCGGCCTCACAACCGCAGACCACGTGTAACCACACCAGCCCAGGACCTCCACATCCAGCATGTTCACCTCCAAGATCGTCTGAGACCAGCCACTCGGACAGCTGCTGCAACAATCGGTTTGCATAACCAAAGAATGTCTGCACAAACTGTCAGAAACCGTCTCAGGGAAGCTCATCTGCATGCTCGTCGTCCTCATCGGGGTCTCGACCTGACTCCGGTTCGTCGTCGTAACCGACTTGAGTGGGCAAATGCTCACATTCGATGGCGTCTGGCATGTTGGAGAGGTGTTCTCTTCACGGATGAATCCCGGTTTTCACTGTTCAGGGCAGATGGCAGACAGCGTGTGTGGCGTCGTGTGGGTGAGCGGTTTTCTGATGTCAATGTTGTGAATCGAGTGGCCCATGGTGGTGGTGGGGTTATGGTATGGGCAGGCGTATGTTATGGACGACGAACACAGGTGCATTTTATTGATGGCATTGTGAATGCACAGAGATACAGTGACAAGATCCTGAGGCCCATTGTTGTGCCATTCATCCACGACCATCACCTCATGTTGCAGCATGATAATGCACGGCCCCATGTTGCAAGGATCTGTACACAATTCCTGGAGGCTGAAAACATCCCAGTTCTTGCATGGCCAGCATACTCACCGGACATGTCACCCATTGAGCATGTTTGGGATGCTCTGGATCGGCGTATACGATAGCGTGTTCCAGTTCCTGCCAATATCCAGCAACTTCGCACAGCCATTGAAGAGGAGTGGACCAACATTCCACAGGCCACAATCAACAACCTGATCAACTCTATGAGAAGGAGATGTGTTGCACTGCGTGAGGCAAATGGTGGTCACACCAGATACTGACTGGTTTTTAGACCCCCCCAATAAAGCAAAACTGCATGTTTTAGAGTGGCCTTTTATTGTGGCCAGCCTAAGGCACACCTGTGCAATAATCATGCTGTCTAATCAGCATCTTGATATGCCACACCTGTGAGGTGGGATGGATTATCTCGGCAAAGGAGAAGTGCTCACTATCACAGAGTTTTTCAGATTTGTGAACAATATTTGAGAGAAATGGTTATTTTGTGTATATAGAAAATGTTTTAGATCTTTGAGTTCATCTCATGAAAAATGGGAGCAAAAACAAAAGTGTTGCGTTTATATTTGTGTTCAGTGTTCTAATACCAGTGTAGAACTACTAAAATCCTACATTCAAAGCATTAAAATATACTTTCAGTACCAAAAGTACTTATCATGCACTTTAGCTCATTGGAGAATCATGTATAAGCAATTGTGTATAATTATTGATGCCTTATTGTGATCTTCACTTCAATTTTGCGCTTGGAAGAGATGTTTTTTTGTACTTACTTTATACAGTATACAGCTGGTTAGCTTAGTAGTTGCATTTGATTTAATTTTTTTTAAATAGTACTAAAGCTGTAAAATAAAAAGAATCAAAAATGTGTTAATTGTACTTTGTCATTTTCTCAGACTTAAAGGTGACATGTCGTGCTTTTCCGGTTATTACCCGTCCCCTTGTGTGTTATGAAGGTTTTTATGCATGTAAACGGTGTGCAGAGTCAAAACCCTCAAAGTACACCCTGTAGCGAGTAAAACTCTAACACAGAAAATATCTCCCCAAAACGCCTCGTTGGAGATACGTCACTGTCCATTTGATTCTTCCGGGTACATCATGATGTCATGTCGTCCCCGGAACGAAATGGACCAATCCGTGGAGCCGTTACGTTACGTCCGCGGAGCCGTTACGTTAAGCCCCCGCTGATTGGTCCAAATTGACCAATCCACGGACTTCCTCACACACTCAGTGCATGCAGCTCTGCTGATTTCTCCTCCCTGGCTGCAGGCTGATAACAGACAGTTGGGATCGCGGCGAAATTCTCTCTGCAGACCCATTCTCTCTGCAGACCCATTCTCACAGCGTTTATCAACACTTTTCTTACTCAAGATCAAGCCACACTTATTGTTTTTACTTCGGCTGTGACTTTGTGTGTGCTCAGGATGAGTTTGGCTGTGTATCGCTAAACAAGGAAATCACACCTCCACGGAGCTCAGTGCGATCCACAACGTCCCGACCAATCGGGGCACACTGGCTCACAGGGAGGGGGGGGCAAGAGCTGCAACGAGCCGTTTAGTGGAGAGAGTGAATACTGCTGAATACACATACTTTACAGAGATTGTTGCAGCCAATTTGATGTATTTTAATATTTGTATATGAAGGTGCTGTGATACTACTGAATTGACCTGGGCATAGGCGGGGACTCAGCCAATTTCAGGGTACAGCCTACTATTTAGGGAGGACACAGGTGCACAGCATTAGGGATTGGGAATCACCAGAGGGAAGCCACACAGTTTTTCAACCGTGCGTGTTTTCGCTGTTTGTTTTGAGTTAATTTCAGTTTATTTCTTTATCAGTTAGTTGTTTAGTTATCAGTTAAACACCCGGCTCTTGTTTTGCTGTCATCATCCTGCAATCCAAATAAACATCTTAAATGCACTCAAAGAGAAGACCTGATTTGCTATCAACACCACGCGTCTGGAAAAGCTTCACACCATATCCCTCACTGGCAAATATTTGTTGTTCGGTTGCCTTTACATTTGTTGAAAAACTCGCTTCCAAAGACGGATGGACACAGGAGGACAGCGCTGTATTCATTGACTTTTCCTGACTTAAATTCACGTTACGCACCCGCAAGAGGAACGGGGACGGGCCAAACATCAAAGTCACGGTAGGAGTATTTATGAATGAATAAAAGGTTGCGGAGGAGAGTGGCCTTCACGCAACGGGATACAGGCAAATCCCATAAAGTAATTCTAAACAAAGCCTCCGTGGATTGCTAAATAATGGCCATGAGTAACGAGGAAAATCAGGAAATGAACGCTGCTGTCAATCAAACTGAAAAGGAGGATGGGCTTGGTAAAAGGACAGCTAAACTCACATATAAAGCAGCGGAAGCAAAGATATTATCTATGCAAAAGAATAGGAATTCTGGGATAAAGCAATTGTGTAAAATGGCAAAGGAATTGGAACAAATGATGATTTCAGATGGAAATGTTTCTGACATGCAAATCAAACATGAAATGTTGTGGAGACTGTCTGGGGAAACTACAAGGTTGCATGAGTCATTAAAACCTTTGTTGCCTGAGGATGACATGTTTAAACAAACGGAATGGTTTCAAAATCAAATGCACAATGTTAAAGGAGTAATACACAAAATGGAAAAATGGGTCCATGCAAACAGGGAGAAATGCATACAGGTTGTGGATGATGAAAATGATGTGTTACATGCAAATGAGGAGCTGGATAATATTGGGCCAAATGACAGTATTTCTAACATTGGTGACAAAACAAATGTGTCAGGTGGAAGCTCTGGCCATTCAAGGTCCTCAAGGTGAACAACGTGTATCAAGGCAGAGGCTGAAAGGGCTGCGCTCCTGGCTTTGGAGGCTGCTCTCAAGGAAAAGCATGAGCTGGAAGCTCAAGAGGCTCAAATTAGGAAGAAAAGGGAATTGCTTGAAGTGCAAAGTCAGATTGCTGCGCAGACAGCAAAAGTCACAGTACTCCGAAACAGAGGGTCTGACATAGGAGTCACAAATGGAACAAATTCATATGTGTCAAAACACAAGTCTGCTCTCAAACCCTCTGCTGTGCCATTTGTTCCACAAACGTCAAGTTGTACCGTCAATCATCCACCAACAGGAGGCAGTAAAACTGCTATGTCAATGAAAGCACAATTATTGGAGCCAAACTGTCAATACAATCATCCACCAACAGGAGGCAGTAAAACTACAAAACCCACTCAATCACATCAAAATCCATACAACCAGTACAATCCACCAACAGGAGCTGCTAAAGCTGCAATGCCATTACAGTCTCAGCAGCTACAGGATCCATACAACCAGTTCAATACTGCAGCTACAATGCCAAGTGGAACAGGGGCACGGCGCAAAGAAACCATTTCACAAGGAACCAGATCAAAAACGTATGCTTTAAATCACATCCCAAGCATGCCTCGAAGGTCTTTGCAGTCATATCCCAGTGCATATACACAACAGCAATGTATCCAAGTCGATGAGGACCAAGGCAGAATGCCTCAAAGATCTCGTCAGTCATATCCAACTGCACAGCCATCACAGCAATCAAACCAAAACAGGGAGGAACCGGACCAAGGCAATATTTTCACCATCATGCAAAAGCAAAACGACATCACAGCATTACTAGTGCAACAGCAGTCTTCATTATCATTACCCCCAAGGGACATACCAGTGTTTGATGGAAACCCTCTTGAGTACAACTTATTTGTCAGAGCTTTTGAAAATGGAGTGGAAGGAAAAGCTGCTAGCAGTGTAGACTGCTTATACTACCTGGAGCAGTACACTCGAGGGCAACCTAGAGAGCTGGTCAAGAGCTGTCAACACATGCCATCTGACAGGGGGTATCAAAGAGCAAGAATGCTTTTAGAAGAACGCTTTGGAAATGAGCAAAAAATAACCATTGCCTATATGGAAAAAGCACTTGGATGGGCACCACTGAAGTCAGAGGACATTAAAGCCTTACAAGCATTTTCACTATTGCTACGCGTCTGCTGTAACGCTATGGAGGACATAAGCTACATGTCAGAAATGAATATGCCATCAAACATACGTGCTATAATCATGAAGTTACCATACAAACTGAGGGAAAAATGGAGAAACATTGCTTTTGAACATCAGGAGAGACACCATCGTCAAGCAGGTTTCAGTGACTTGGTCAATTTTATTGAGAGACAAGTGTCTATTGCATCTGACCCACTGTATGGAGACATTCAAGACACAGTTGTCTCATTCTCAAAATTCAAAGTTGGAAATAAAGTGTCACAGGGACAGTGTCATAAAGGAGAAAGGAAGCAGTTTCGCTACATCTGTGGCAGCTGTCTCTGAAACTCAAAAGGAGAAATACTTACGTGATACGTTAACAAAGGGACCTTGTCTGCTGTGTGAAGAGGGCCACAGATTGGAAGTGTGCCCCAAGATGGAAAAGAAGCAGCATCGGGATAAAATGGATTTCCTAAAAATGAAAGGTGCTTGTTTTGGATGTCTATCAGTTGGACACATGAGTAAAGATTGTCACAGTCGGCTGTCTTGTAAGTTGTGTAACCTGAAACATCCTAGCATTCTCCATATCCATGCAAAGGAATGGAAATAAATCAAGTCAAAGGACTCACAGCAAGAAACAACATGGATGAGTCAAGTCACTACTCCCAAGACATGTGGCCATATAGGAGCCGGAGCACAGGATTGCGTCTTGTCAATTGTGCCTGTAAAGATCAAGGCAAAGAAAGGCAGCACAATTCTAAAGACCTATGCATTTCTAGATCCCGGCAGCTCATCTACTTTCTGCTCTGAGCAACTGATGAGGAAGCTAAAGGTGAGAGGAAGGAACACTAAATTCCTGATGAAAACAATGAATAAAGAAAGCTTTGTCAACAGTCACGTCATCTCAGGATTAGAGGTAGCTGCACTCAATGGTAACATCTATATTGAGTTGCCTGATGTGTACACCCAACGCAAGATGCCTGTGACTCGTAATAACATCCCACAACAGGAAGACTTGTATGCTTGGCCATACTTGGACTCTGTGGAAATTCCTGCTATCGATGCTGATGTGGAGCTGTTAATTGGAACTAACTCTCCAGAAGTAATGGAGCCATGGGAAGTGATAAACAGCAGGGGTAAAGGACCTTACGCTGTTAGAACCCTATTGGGATGGGTTGTCAACGGACCATTGAGAGGAGGCAATGAGAGTGGGAGTAGCTGCCCCACAGTCACAGCCAACCGCATATCCATTGCTCACATAGAGGAACTGCTGGTGAAGCAGTACAACCAGGGATGCACCGAATATTCGGCCACCGAAAATTATCGGCCGAAAATGGTTAAAAAGGCCCTTTCGGCCGAAAGGGTTTTAGCACCGAAAAAATATCACCGAATGTCAGAACAGGCTTACGTTGGTAACCTAACGTGTTGTTGTGATGACGTAATAAAGACGCGGCGACCATGCTCGCGGCTGGCTCACAGGGGGGGGGGGGAACATTGACCTTTGTCATCGAGATTGCCCTGAGCCTTTAACAAATCGTATTAAATAATCTGATGACAGACTGTAAACAGAATAGCTGAAATTTTAACAAACTAAATAACTCAGTTTCCTCTAATCATTAACCCATGTTTGTATCATGTAGTTAACTCCGTGTGTTGCTGCTAGCATACATAACACCTGACGTGGAAACGTTACTCGTGGATGGGGCTACAGGGCTGCTAGAAAGACGGTCGAACCCGGTACATTCCTCCGTCTGCATGCGGTGCACTTTTGCTAAATGTTTAGACAAATTGCTCGTGCTTACATGCTAAACTCTTATTGCACTTATGGTAACAAGTATTCTCCACATCGAGACGGGTAAAGTTTAACCACACCTCGGAGCGCGTTCTCTCCGCCATCTCCGCAGTGTGCTCCGCTGCATGTAGCAGCTGCATGTGTGTAAACTGCCCCGCCTCCTCGCACACAGACGGGGGAGAGATCTCGTCTGATCGAAAATACATCATAAACGCATTTGTTGTCTTTGCATATTAGAAACGAGTTGGCGACACTAAGACTGCGATATAATGTTTTTTAGCAATAATACATGACATATATAAATGTACTGTATGCATTCAAAAGTGCTGAATAAATGTTTTATGGACCCATAATAGTGATTATTATTTAAGTTAAGTTTTGCCATAATCATGTCTATTTCCATAATCAGGTAGCTGAACAACATTGGTAAAAAATGTATACATTATATATATATATATATATATATATATATATATATATATATATATATATATATATATATACATATTTCTGTTAATCATTTTCGGCCTTTCGGCATTCGGTTTTCGGCCAACTGTTTCCTATTTTCGGTATCGGTTTCGGCCAAGAATTTCCCATTCGGTGCACCCCTAAGTACAACCATGACTTCAATGAGAAATCAGCAGAAGACAAGCCAGAAATGTCCATAGAAGATCTTAAGTTCATGCAAATTGCCAACACTTCAGCTGAACTCAACAATGGACATTACTGCTTGAAGTTGCCTTTTAGAGAAGAGGACAATGTTGTCATGCCCAACAACCGCCATCTTGCTGAGCAAAGGGTCCTCTGCCTAAAAAGGAAATTGGAGAGAAATCCAACATTCAAAGAGGAATACACCAACTTTCTTGATGATGTCATAAACAACGGCTATGCAGAGAGTGTGCCAGAGCATCAGGTGAAAGGAAAAGAAGGAAAGGTGTGGTACATCCCGCATCATGGGGTGTACCATCCTAAAAAGAAAACCCTGAGAGTGGTATTTGACTGTGCGGCAAGCTACAAAGGTGTGTCACTCAACACTAAACTACTCCAGGGACCTGACTTGACAAATTCCTTGCTCGGAGTTCTCACAAGGTTTCGCCTAAACTCTATAGCAGTTATGGCTGACATAAAAGCTATGTATCATCAAGTCCAAGTGGCAAAACAGGATGTAGACTTTCTTCGCTTCCTATGGTGGCCAAGAGGTGATCTGACACAGCCGCTCACTGAGTACAGAATGACTGTTCATCTGTTTGGTGCAATATCATCGCCCAGCTGTGCCAGTTTTGCCCTTAGAAAAACGGCTGAAGACCACAAAGCAGACTTCCCAGTTCATGTAACAGACACCATCAAGCAGAACTTTTATGTGGACGATTGCTTGAAATCCTTGTCTTCAGAGGCAGAAGCCATGTCTTTGGTTACAGACCTGACCGCTCTATGCTAGTTGGGAGGATTCCAACTGCTGAAATGGATCAGCAACAGCAGGTCAGTGTTGGAAGCCATTGATGTGGAGAAAAGAGCCAAGGAAGTGAAAGAACTGGATTTCGACAGAGACAGCCTTCCTGTCGAAATAACCCTGGGACTGCAGTGGTGCGCAGAAACTGACACCTTTAGGTTCAAGATGGCAGTCCAAGAAAGGCCATTCACAAGAAGAGGTATCCTGTCGGTGGTGAGCTCGGTCTACGACCCCATTGGATTTTTAGCACCCTTCACCTTACCTGTCAAGATAATGCTGCAAAACCTCTGTAAGATGAGCTACAGTTGGGATGAGCACATTCCTCAAAACTACCAGTTGCAGTGGGTGGGGTGGCTAGAAGATCTAAGAAGACTCAGCACTTTCAGTGTGCCGAGATGTTTTAAACCCAAAGGATTTGGACAGCTCACAAGTGCCCAACTACATCATTTCTCTGACGCCAGTGAGAACGGCTATGGCACAGTTTCATACTTGAGGCTGCAAAGTGATGATGAGAAGGTCCATGTAACTTTCGTTCTCGGAAAGGCACGAGTTGCTCCTCTAAAGAATGTGACAATCCCAAGGATGGAACTAACAGCTGCTGTGCTGGCAGCGAGAGTTGACAGACTCCTGAAAGCAGAGTTGCAACTAGAGCTGGAAAACTCAATCTTCTGGACAGACAGCACAACAGTGTTAAAGTACATCAGGAACGAAACAAAGCGCTTTCACACCTTTGTTGCCAATAGGGTCTCTGCTATAAGAGAAGCCACAGACATCTCACAATGGAGGTACGTTGACACAAAACGGAACCCAGCTGATGAGGCCTCTCGTGGGGTGAAAGTTGAACACCTTCTCACTTGCAGCAGATGGATCCATGGCCCAGAGTTTCTTTCCAAGAGTGAAGAGGAATGGCCACTTAACATCTTGGATTCAACTTCCATCAGCAGTGATGACCCAGAGGTTAGAGGAGAAGTTTCAGTTAATACTGTCATCATTAATGATGCACCAAATGCAACAAATAACATCTCTGATGAAGACCCACAGAATGCAGTAAATCAACTGATAACCCACTTCTCCTCGTGGAAAAGGCTTAAGATCTCAGTTGCGTGGTTTCTCCAGCTGAGAAAGACGTTGCAGTTGTTGAGTCAAAAGAGAAAATAAATACAAGCTTCTCTGTCCAGCAGTGGACTTGACCCAACTCAACAAAAGAACAAAGAGGAAGAGGACATGAAAAGATTCAGAGCCACAATGGGTGGTCACGTCTTATTTCCTGAAGATATTGACGCGGCAGAAAGTGTCATCATTCAGTACTGCCAAATGAACAAGTTTAGTAATGAAATCACTGCTTTGAAAAAGGGAACATCTGCGGTGAAGAAAAGCAGTCACATTTATAAACTTGATCCGGTACTGAAACAAGGAATATTGAGAGTGAGAGGTAGGCTTAGCAAAGGAGCAATGCCTGAAGACACAAAACATCCAGTCATTCTTGCTAAGGACCAACATATCGCCACTCTAATCTTACGCCACATTCATGAACAGTTAGGACACTGTGGAAGAAATCACCTACTTTCCAGACTTCGTCGACAATACTGGATCACCAGAGCAAATGCTGCTGCTAGAAAGATCCTCTCTTCCTGTGTTGTCTGCAGACAATATAGGGGAAAGCTGGGTGAACAAAAGATGGCAGATTTGCCAAAAGAAAGACTGCAATCTGATCTTCCACCATTCACAAATGTGGGCATTGACTATTTTGGGCCGTTTGAAGTGAAGAGAGGCCGCAGCCTCATCAAACGCTATGGAGTTATCTTCACCTGCATGGCCAGTCGGGCAGTCCATCTGGAAGTGGCCTATTCATTGGACACCAGTTCTTGCATAAATGCAATACGCAGATTCATTTCCAGGCGAGGCCAAGTATCACACATCAAATCAGACAACGGAACCAACTTTGTTGGAGCAGAACGTGAGCTGAGAGAAGCTCCATCTCATTTGAACCATCAGAAAATTCAAAACTCACTGCTTCATTCTGGAGTGAAATGGAGTTTCAACACTCCAGCCGCATCCTATCATGGAGGAGTATGGGAAAGAGTCATTCGCATGGTCAGGAAAGTGCTGAACTCTATTCTTCATCAGCAACATTTGGATGATGAAGGACTACAAACACTCCTGTGCGAAGTGGAAGCCATATTGAATGACCGTTCCATTACAAAAACCTCAGAGGATCCAAATGATCTCGAACCCCTGACGGAGCGTCCACACAGCAGCGTGCGTTGACGCTTGGAGGTGGGCGTATCTGAAGCTTGGGGATTTTTTGCGAGCTACGCGACCAACAACCAATCACATGAATCTCCTGCCCCCGACATACAAAGCAATATCAATGTTAAAACGAAGTAAACTGGATATAAAATCCCCAAACAGGCGAAAACCTACCAGTTTCACCCACTGTCTCTGCCACCTCCCTCCATGCCTCGCTCCTCCGGTTTTTATCCCGGTAGATGGACAGAGACTGATCATACAGCACCGGGTGATTCACTACCGCTATAATGAATTTTCCCTCAATTTTTTTGAATATGAGGAAATTACCTGCGTAGTCTCTCCCAGCATACACGCGGTTTGATTGGCTAGCGCTTGTACTGGCAGATTTGCATAAACGGGATTTCATTGGCTGACGCCTCCGTCGAGGCGTCAAAAGTTGAACATTGCTCAACTTTTGACGCCAGCTACGCCAGCAACGCTCCACGTCGCTTCCCAAAATGCAGTTCGGCTAAAAGTGACGTCACCCCATTCAAAGTGAATGGGCAGAAGCGTTGGAAGCTTCAACGCACGCCGCTGTGTGGACGGGCCGTGACTCCAAATCACATTCTCTTGTTAAAAGGCAAACCTTCTCTACCACCCGGGCTTTTTGACAAAAATGACTCCTACTCCAAACGACGATGGAGGCAAGTTCAATTCCTTGCCAATCTCTTTTGGCATAGATGGATTCAGGAGTATGTACCACTGTTGCAAGAGAGACAACGGTAGCCAAAGGACAAGAGGAACTTTGTCACAGGAGACATTGTCATCGTAGCGGACTCTAATGCCCCTCGCGGATCCTGGCTGTTGGGCAAGGTACTGCAGACCTTTCCCGACAGACAGGGACTTGTGCGGTCGGTTAAAGTCCGGACGAAGTACAACATCCTGGAGCGACCAATCACGAAGATCTGTCTTCTATTGGAAGCTGAATAAAGACTGAAACCCAACTTATATTATTGGGGTTACCAACCCTATTGGATTATCTACATGAACAATGAACATTATGGATTGAGAATACTGATATGGACTATTCTATTTGGCTGCAATGTTTTGTATGTTGTTGAATTGTTATGTTATTATACAGTAACAATTAGGAGCCGGTGTGTTGCAGCCAAGTTGATGTATATATGTATATGAAGGTGCTGTGATACTACTGAATTGACCTGGGCATTCAATTCAATTCAATTCAAAACCTTTATTTATCCAGGTAAAATCCCATTGAGATCAATGATCTCTTTTTCAAGGGAGACCTGCAGCAGTAGGTTCCACAAGAAGACATAAACAACAGAACAACAAAAGGACATCATACAGCAAAATGTACAGGGATTACAATTTACATATTTAACCACAAGTACAGGTACCAACAGCATCTGATTTTGTAGCATCCAACCGAGCTTTAAAAACATGTAGTGGTACTAGCTTGGTAATTTTCCATTCTTTTTGCAGACTGTTCCATGTTAGTGGAGCTGCACATCTAAAAGCTTTCTTCCCTAAGACAGTCCTAGCACTTGGCACATTTAATAAAACCACAGCATGCGATCTCAGGCAATAAGTACTTTCAATTCGCAGAGAGATCAGGGAGCAGATATAAGATGGTAGTTTATCCAACATGGCTTTGTAAATGAAAAAGTACCAGTGACTGAGCCTCCGTACAGTAAGTGATGGCATAACCGCCTTGGTATACAGGGTACAGTGATGCGTAAGTGCTTTACAATTTGTCAAAAATCTCAGTGCACTGTGATACGCAGCATCTAACTTGCTCAGGTAATTGGCAGGTGCATTCATATATAACAAATCACCATAATCCAGCACAGGTAAAAAGGTCACAGTGACTAGCCTTTTCCTGGCCTCAAGCGAGAAACAGGACTTATTTCTGTAAAAGAAACCTAGCCTAACCCTCAGCTTTTTAAGCAGGTTATTGACATGAAGTTTAAAAGTGAGACAGTCATCAAGCCAGATACCCAAGTATTTGTAACAGGTAACCACTTCAAGTTGTATTTCTTGCATAGTTACAGAAATATCCAAAACAAAGGCTCTGGTGTCTTTTTTAGCTTTGAAAAATAGCATTACCTTGGTTTTATCAACATTTAAATAAGCTAAGTTCCGCAAGCTGAGGTCTGAAATAATGTTAAAAACAGCCTGTAATTTAACACCAGCCTCCTTAATGGAGGGACCTGCACAGTACATAACGGTATCGTCCGCATAAAAATGTAAAGTAGCATCATCCACATTTTCACCTAAGCTGTTGATGTAGATAGAGAATAAAAGTGGACCTAAAACAGAACCTTGAGGAACACCATTAGCAATGTTTAACCACTCAGAAGACAGCCCATCAAAGTGAACACATTGGGACCTTTCAGAGAGGTAGTTCACAAACCAACCCACTGCATGGCTGGATATGCCGATACTGAGTAGCCTCTCGTTTAAGATGCGATGATCGACGGTATCAAACGCTTTGGAAAGGTCAATAAATAGAGCTGCACAACTCTGCTTATTGTCTAAAATACTCGTAATGTCATTCACCACTTTCATTGTGGCAGTGATGGTGCTATGTTGTTTTCTGAATCCTGACTGATGTTTAGACAGGATATCATTTTTACATAAAAACACCTTTACCTGTTCACTCACTAGGCGTTCGAGCACCTTCGCCAGAACTGAAAATTTAGAGATTGGCCTATAGTTATTTAAAATAGTTGCCTCCC